GTGAAAGTGGATCATCAAAACTTTCACGTAACTTACTCAAGAATTTATGTCAAAATGATGAAAATTCCCATAAAAAGTAAAATAAAAAAGAAATTGTTCAATTATAGTGTTTTGAACTAAATTAATTAATTTTTGTGCATTCTTACGTGTAGATATTGTATGTGAATTAAATTGAGAGTAATTATAATACAAATAAAATAAGAAACTAATTTGAAATAAAGAGAAAAATAACAAGTTGAGACATTTTAAAACTTATGATTGAATATTTTTTTAAGAAGTCTTAAGACAGAATGTGAGTCAAGACATTCAATTGAATTTGTTAATTGATCAAATTAATTATAGTCCAAAAAATTTTCTATTGCTTAATCAAGTTTATCAATAAATAACTTAATCAATATTAATTAAATAAATTATTAAATAATGATTTATTTATAAATAAAAAGGACTCTAAAAAGTATTAAAATAAATTAAAAAATTATAAAAAAGTTATAAATTAATATAATAAGTTCGAATATATTATTCTAAATTATCTCTTAAAAATAATAAATTACTGATTTTTTAAATATATTAACCCATATAAGAAGAATGAAGATATTTAAATATTTGTAAGTAAGAAAGATATGTAGTAAATGTTATTGGAATAATGAAATAAAATAACCAACTAAATTAGCAAAGATTGGCCTGACAACACAAGTGTTTAGAGACTGATATGTTAAAAATATAAAAAATAATATCTATGCTAAGTGTAACTATATTAATGCATTATATTATAATAGTGAAGTGTTTTTCTGATTAAAGAATTTTAAGATTGGTATTTTCAGTATTATTTAAGAAAATTTTTGAATTTAAATTTTTGTATATACAAATCTGAATTAAACTGAATGAAAAAAAAATTTAACTAAATATTAATTTATGAAATGATGTTACCTATTACATATTATATCTCTACAAATTATGAGTAAAATAAGTTATTAATTTTACAAATACAGTCTCGTATCATTACGTTTTGTGAAAAAAATTATTAATTTTCATTTTTTAATTTTTATTATTTTTTAAAAAATTAACTGGCATAGCTGTCAAATAGTGCCTTAATTAGAGATGGCAATGGGTAGGGTATGGGTAGGGTACTACAGTACCCATCCCCATACCCGCGTTTTAAAAAAATACCCATACCCAGCCCCATACCCGCGTGGGTATGAACATTAATCCCCGTACCCGTACCCTCTGGGTACCCGCATACCCGTCTTGTACCCATTACCCGCGCTTGTTTGAGAAAAAAATATTTATAAAGAAAAATATGTTTATATAATTTCACATAAGTAGCATAATAATACAAAAATTCAATATGTAGTTGTCAAACAAGGTACAAATATAGATAAAAAACAAATATTCAAAGATCATAAATGTTAAATGTATCTTAATATAATAATTTTCTAAACTAAAATTCTTAGAAACAATAAGCAAAACTAAACACACAAGTTATTTGTCAGTGATAATCTTATCTTGTGTGAGATTTGATTGATTGGTAATGTCAGAACGACAACGAAATAGATCTGTACAATGGTTGTCCCTTCGTGTGGGATCACTTAGTAACCTCTTGTGACGACATTAACAACTAACTCTAATGAATAACATTTCATAGTTATTAAGTTTTAGTGAGACAGACATTAAGAATGAGAATAGAGTTAGAGTAGAGAAGTTCAATACTAACAATAGAAAGTTGATACATAAAATATTTTTTTTAACTTTTGAATTTGAAATTGTAAGAAAAATAATAGATTTAATTAAAATAATATCATATAATTAATATATATATATATATTAATACTAGTATTTTTTAACTCATATATTATACGAAAGTATTTTATCAAAAATATAAATTTCTAAAAAATTATTTTACTGAATTAAATATTTATAATGTATATAAATTTAAAAAAAAAGAATTTGAATAAAAGATAAATAGTTACAATAAAATTTTATAATAAAGAAATATACGTGTATATTAAAAAAATTATACTTTTTTATCTTAAAAAAATTAACATAAAAATTAACAATAATTTTTTATATTTATATCTTTTCAAAAACTTCTTTGAATGTGAATAAATAGTAAGAATAATATTATTTAAATTCAATAGATTATAGTTGTGCTTGTAATACATATGTTGCATAGAAAAATATTATTTTAAATTAAAATATTAAAAAAAAATTTAAATATTATTAATAAATAATAAGTTTACAGTAATAGTAAGTGATTGTAAAATTTATAAAATATTTATAATATATTTATTATTTATCATTCATTTTATGATTTAAACATCAATATGATTTTATTAACAAAAATATTTGTGTAAAAAATATTTTATGTGTGTCATATATAAATAATATTTTAAAAAAAAGTCAATCTCATATTAACTATGTAATAATTAAATTGTGTTAGCCTAATTAAATGATATAAAATAGTAAATAAATTTTTCTATTAAAAATATAAACCAAAATAAATTTTTTGGTTTACTTTATTATTAAATATATTTTTATATTAATCTTATATAACTTCACATAAGTAATATAATAATACAAAAATTCAATTCATAATTGTATAATAAAGTTCAAGCATATATATATATATATATATATATATATATATGCGGGTATGGGGCGGGGTGGGTACTTAGATACCCATACCCGCACCTATCCCCATTAAAATTTGCGGGTTTTTACCCACACCCATACCTGTACCCGTATAGCGGGTAAATACCCTACCCATTGTGGATAAATTTTGCGGGTACCCATCGGGTACTTTACCCATTACCATCCCTAGCCTTAATATGAAAATAGTCAAGTTAGGTCAACTACTATTATAAGATAAATAGGATGACATGATTACTTCCCACATCACCATATAACGGTTACATTAACTATTTTCTAAAATGTTAAAAGTTACAAAAACGAAAATAAAAAATATACATTAGTTTAGATATATACACTTACAAATGAGTTATAATTCATTGACATTATAAATCAAATATAAATATCTAATTATTTAAATTTTTTAAAAACTCTAAAATTTATTAAGTCAATCGTGACATGATCTTATATTATTTTATTGATTAATGTGTATTAAATTTTTTACAATTTAAACATTTATAAATATATTAAAATTTATATTTTTAAAATATATTATTGATTAAAATAAAATAATATGATAAAATATTTATTAAATATTTTTATAAAAATGATAAATAAAAGTTTTAAATTAATAATTAAACTTTTAAATTTTGTATTCAATAAAAAATTTATTAAATAGTATAAAATCTAAATTTATACTTAGTATCAACAAATTTTCAATATATGAGTTTTATAAGAACCAAAAGAATAAGGAATAATCAAGGATATATTTATATGCATTATATATTTCACACTTGATACATATTTTACCAAATCATCATTTACAACTTTTATTTATATAATAAACACAAAATGAACATTAGTTTATAAAATGTATTTACCAAGAACAATGTACCAAATCTGTCATTATTTGAAATTGCAAACTAAACTGTGGGAGAAATACTATGTAAAATGGTTGCTAAAGGACAAGACCTCAGCTAATTACTCTGGAATTCTTAATCAAATCCCATAATGTGAAGATTTTAGTTTAAATATATTAACACTGTTATCTAATAATAAATTATTATATCAATAATTTTTTAACTTTTATAAGAATTAATATAATAATCATATCTACAATGTCTTCTAATTGGTTTTCAGTATAAAAATATGTACACTAAAAGCACACTAAAATTAAACTAGTAATATTGAATTATTCATAATAATTCATGAATTATATTTTAATAAATTCAATTTCCTTTATAATAATCAAACTTTATCTGATTAGATTAGATCGACTAAAATTTAAAATATTTTTGTCCAAAATTTCATTTTATCAAATGTTTAATAATTTATATATGAACTAAAAATACAATATACTAACAACTATAAAATTAATATATCTTAATTAATAATAATAAAATGACACATGAAAAAATGAATTAAAATCCATTGACACTGAATGTAAAATTTAGATATTTACATCACTAAAACTTTTTATACAATGCAAGATTAATTAATCTAATTACTAATTTAAAAGTCTTTATCAAATAAACAAAGTTTATAAAATTTCATATATGAAACTGATTAATAAACTTTTGAAGAAGTGTTTACAAGAAAAAAATTCATATAAAAAATAAACAAATATTTTCTTATAAGCTAAAAACAATTTATTCTGTCAAATTTTAAAAAGTTAAATGATTTTTTTAAAAAAATAAAGAAATATAAATTCCTTTAAATTTATAAGAAATTTCATTTATTTGTTATACTAATTTTTTTTCTATAAAAACTTGTTTATAAATTTGTCCAAACTAGACCAAAAACAAAACCAATAAATAGATCATTTTATTGTTCTTTTTTAATGAATAATATTTTTTAAATTATAAGTAAATATCAAACTATTAATAATATATTTACAAATATCTAAATTATATTAAATTTCATAAAATAAAAAACATAAGTTTTTTTTTAACTTGTAAGAAGTTTTATTTATTTATTATATTATATTTTTTATACAAACGTTTTTTTATAAATTTATCTAAATTAGACTAAAAACAAAATTAATACACACTTCATGTTGTTATTCTATTTTAATGTGCAACCTTTTTTAAAATATAAATAAATATTATATTTTTTATAACAAGCTTACAAATGTCTAAATTATATTAAATTTAATTATGTAATCATAAAAATAATACAAAATAATTTAATGATTAAATTATTTAATCCTGTATTTTATGAAAAATTATTAAATAAGCAAAATATCCAAATTTAACACTTAGTGTCAAGTATCTTAACTCTGAAAATATTATTTTATTCTCTTTATTTTTTTAATTCTCAACGGCACTTACATGTGTAGTCAAAGATGTCTTGATAGGATTATTTAGAACAAAATGCAAAACAATACACGATCTTAGTCTGTTCTATAATTTACCAAACAAAACGGGCAATTGATCAGTGTCCTGTTACATTCTTTTTTATACTTCATTTTACTGTGTCAAAATCTTACATATGGATCATACTCGATTAAGAAAGGTCATACACAATAAAATATGACTCTACTTAATTTTCCTAAAACACTTGATTCACAAGAATGTACTCAATGGTGCTTCTTACTGGCACCCTTTTTACCATGTTTCTTCTTACCTCCTTTCCTTTTCCCTGCATTGGACATATTCGTTCCATTATCATGATCTCTTGATGGTGCTGAATTTAACAAATGCTTCACATCAAGTATGCCATTCCTAAAGCGACCTTCACTTGACTTAAGACCCCTGTTCTCAGGTTTGTGTTTCCCAAATGATCTTTTACTGCTACCACCAGTCTTTGCCCCGAATTGTCCAAGAATCAAACGCTAAATGCCACAAGGAGTACAGAAATGAATAATAAGGCCAGTACCAGTCAAACAAACAAATTAAAAAAAAAAAAAACAGATGAAAGAAATTAATTACCTCTTGAAGCATTTTTTGCTCCCTCTCATTTTGTTTCTTCAGCATTGGTCGTGCCACACTTAAAGGTAATCTTTGATTCTTTGGGGGCTGCATATGGAGAAATGATAAACATTAAGAAATTTGTTTCATGAGCATCCATGTAATAGTATTTGCATTCGTACATGATGTAGAAATTAGAACATTAACAATACCCCTCACCTTCCCACCAAGAGAAACGACCTTCCTATTTTCAATCTTTTTGCGTTCTTTCCATGTCATGTGCGAGTAGCCTGGAAAATATGATAATTAGCAGCCATTACAAGTAACAACTACACTTCAATATATGAAATAGTGGAAAGGTAAACAAGACCGGGGAAACTGGGTAGGGTCATAAATTCTTCAGCTCCATTAAAATAAAGGAACAAATATTTTCTCATCATTTTAACATCCAATATGCAAAATTTCCAATTTTAGCCCATGGGTTATTCCAAAATTTCTATGTAGTGATCTTAAATTTTCAACAACTAATCAAATCCTCAAGATCATCACTGATATTACAGACAATCAACTAAATGATTCACTCTTCTACATCATCCTAGTTAAGCTATAGTCATAGATTAGTGTTGTGACCCAAAATATTAATCAAGAACATGAAAGGAAAGTGGTAAATTGCAGCCATTGCCACTTATCCTAATCTAGAAGTTTAGGTTGGGAAAGTTTCAAGTAAGAATAAGTTGTTTTTCGCACATAAAAGAAGAGACTTTATAAGGAAAGGAGGCCAACAATGAAGAGGATAATAGACCCATGAAAACGTTTTTCCTTTGACGTACACAATTATGAATTTTAACAGTTACTAATTCCCTCCACAAACAAAAATTAACTGAAACATACAATCATAATTCATAACTTCATCTGCTCACATGACACTATGCTTTTAAACTAAGAAATCGATATTAGCATTGCTGTCACATCTATCAGGCCATATAAATCAACACAATCCATAAAACATCATCATCCACTTTTCAGAATGCAATCTACCAGAGAATGTATATTCAAAGCACACTAACAATAAAAAGCTGATTAAACAAGAAGATGACAACAGTCAAGAAAAGGGAAAAGAAAGTCAAAGTGAGAAAAGGAAAACGAAAATTACTAAAATTCTCAACATCTTTCATAATCTCCCTTATGTCCATTTCTTGTTCCTCTATATCAGTATGTTCTCCTGGAGGTCCATGCCTAGCAGCTTGTTTCTTGTTCTTGTACATCTTTCCCATCTCTACATCAAAAGTTGAAAAAGATATTTAAGAAAAAAATAAAAGTCACAAACTATATCAAACTACGGCTACAAACACAAATCAAATAAATACAAATGGTTCAAATGGATGCGTCAAAAAGGGCTTGGGTTTGTTTATACAAGCACTATTACAAAATTATATTCATCCTTAACAAGAATAGCCAAGTTATAGTAAATGTAAGGCTAATATTACACATAGACAGATTCAAGTCTTACAAAAGTATTAAGTGTACAAATTACATTAATGAAAGAATTCATCATTGCAGTGCCACTTTGCAATTAAACTAAGCATGAAAACAATGACCTTTGAGGATTCACTTATGTATTCAAAGTTGTCAAAAAACAAATTTGACAAACTAACTAGGAACTAGAGCAGTCAAAAAGTCCAATTGGCTCAGCTCTAGCCCTAGCCCATGCCCATGTCGGTTAGGGTCAAAAAGTCCTGTGGGCCAAAAAGCCTACTGGGTCAGGGTTAGGGTTCGGGTTTCAAGGGCCAAAAAATTTTAACAATTGCAAGTTTCCAACTCAAATTTAATTTCATAATTAACTATTAATCGTTAGTGCAATAACAGCAAAATAGAACATCAGTCCATCTCTAAACAATGGTAGAATAAGTTAACAGTAAAATTCAAGCAAATTCAATTTTCAACATTAGTGTCATAACATAATTTCTATAAACAATCTAGATTTATATAAATCCATCTATAACAAAAGAACATCAGTCCAACTATAAACAAAACTAATTTCAAAGACTCCTTTGTATTTTCAGCATAAGTAAGAAGCAGATAACAGCAAAATACATAAAGTCAATGTGCATGATTCATCATTATCCATTGTAGAGCAATGTTGAACACATTAAAATTGTCAAATGATTAGGAAACACAGCAAAATGATTAAGAAATAATGTCGGTATGTCTATAATTATCAATAAATACATATCTTGTAAAGTATGGAGCCAAAAGAATTCCAGCAATACTTCACTGATTATATGTATCCTGAAATTCAAATTGACTGTCACAGTTCTCATTTGTGAGGGAAATCATACATAATTGAGGTTCAAAATCTTTACAGAGCAGCAAATCCTTTAAATTTAGAATCAACTCTATCTTGAACATCATTCTAAGAGGGAGAGGGAAGGAGCAATGTTCTTGCAATGAGATTCGTGCTCCCTTGTATAAATTTAATCAATAATCATGACAGTATAATTATACTTCAATGAATAGGGGAAAAACCATGATGAGAAAAAACTGATACTAGAAATTGAAGGGCAGTTACATTGTAGGAGCAAAAGTATTACAGGATAGTTACTGCTAACTCCAAACAAAAGTATTACAGAGAACCTGAAAATCCAAGCAAACAGCATATGGCTAAAAAAAGAACTTGCATGGGCAAGCTACAACAAATTATTGTGTAAGAAATCAAACATGTATGGTTCAAATCAACAGGTGATAACGTGTATTTTATCTTAAAAAATTTAAATAGGAGTGGCTATAGACACTTAAGAGTGATAATAATCACTCCCCAAATCAACAACACATTTGGTTCAGGACAATTAAGGGTTCGGTTTGAGAAAACATTATTTTTTTATTTCCATTTCATATTTTCAGAAATAATTACAAAGATTAAAACAGTTCCAGTGCTAAAACATTACTGACAGTCCGAGAAATTTTTCTACCTCTCCTTAATTTTGTGCAAAACCTAAAACTCCCAGCTTTCCTTTTCATGCATTGCTATTTGCTAATGTCATAAAGAGAACTTTAACATTCTTCAAAACAGAATAAGAACACGCTTTGAACTAAAAAAATGTTTAAGCAAACAGAAAAGCAACGAATTCAAAGCCAAATTCAAGAGAGTAAAATTGAAGAAACCAACTCCAACGAGAGAAGTAACGTACAGAGGCAAAGAAAGTGTCACGGCTGTAATTTCGTAAATAATTGAGAATGTTGAAAAAATTGGGATCAGAATTTCATAACTCTATCTCATAATATATAAATAGATTATTGGCAATTGCACTGATTGAGAGAAAAATAACATATGTACAAAGAAGGAACATATCGTATATAAACGAAGCATAACTATGACACCACACGACACATGTAAAGCAAATTAAAAATAAAAGTATCCAAAAAGATTCAGAAGCATTCGACGATCCCAAAACAATACAGCGGGATTTTAAGGAATAAATTAGCAGAACATGCAGTCAAAACTGAACAAGAAAGAATGAATAAATCAAAAAGAAGAGCAAGCACACAAAGATGCATCGACGTCGAGCATGAATGGAGGAAGAACTGGGTGAGGATAACATACCACAGAACAGAGGAGTGAGGTACAGAGCAGTGACAGTGAGCAGAGAAGAGAAAACTCGTTTTCGACGTTGAAACGGAGGACACAGGTATGAGTGAGGCACCAAGGGAGGAGGACACGAGACTGATTCCGATTCAAATTGGGATTTAGGGTACTTGCTTTTGTTCTTATGTTTAATTTTGATAAAATTGATATTTCCGTCATATGAGAATCTTTAATATATGGTTATTATTATTTAAAAATAAGATTAAATTTTAAAATTTATTATGATTATATTTTTTACTAGAGAATTTTAGTTATTTTTTATTTTAAATTTATTATTATATTATTGTTATTAATTTATTTATTATATGTTAATTATTATTTTATTAGTTTGTTGTAATATAATTTTTTATTTATCATAGTATTTTATTATATTATAATATTTTATAAGAGATTTTTAAAAGTTTTAACTAGAATTTTTAATAAATCGATCAGACTAATCTTGATTTTCAGTTAATATTAATAAGTTAATTTTCTATTAATTATAAGATAATTTAATAAAAAAATAAAGAAACAAATTAAAAATTGAAATTAAAAGATTAAATTTATTTTATTATCTTTTAAACCAAACTATAATTGAAATTAAAAATTATATTAAAAAATTATTTTTTTATTAATAGTTCTTAATGACAATAGTTTATTGAATTCGATAATATTATTTAAAGAGATAAAAGTTATAAGATAATAAAAAGAATTATAATTTATTTTTAAGTTTTGGTTTTAGTGTATCAGTTTTAAAATTATAATTTTTTTCAGACAGCAATTTTTTTTAAAAATAATTATATTCGAATGAGATAAATTTATTACAGGCAGTGGAACTTTTTTTTTTCTAAATATTTAACAAAGTGAAATTTATTTGAAATTGAATTCAATATCACAAGTTAAGTAATTATTTTTTAAAAAGGTTTAAATTAAATTCTTATTGTTAATTCTACTATGTAAAATTTTTTATAAAGTTCTTTTAAGGTTAACAATAATAAATATTTGTTAGTTTATTTATTATATTATTTTTTATTTATTTAATTAGCTCAATCTTTTGGCTTTTTTATTTAAATATTATTTTTAAAAAACAAATTATCAAAATATACATTTTTTAAAACTAATTTTTTGTATGAAATTTTTTTTGTGTATGTCATAAGTTTCACGAATATAATTGATGAAACTTTAATCTATCTATTTTTTAAAATTTCATCAATGAAACTGTGAAACTCATATAAGTTTTTTTTTTTTTTTAATTTTGTCACAGAAGTTGGCAAAACTTACATAGTCAAATTTTTTAGACTATATTTTATTTTTGTCTAATAAATGAATTGTGAGATATATGTTTCTCCAAAACTAAAATAGAAAAATATAAGGAGGGTCCAAATCATTTTGAAAACTATAACAAAAAGTGTTTCATTTTATAACTATTATTTATTTACGAAGAGCTTTCGTCGAGCAACCCAATATCATAAGCAAATTCTATCTTGTTAAATGCATCTCGAAAAATAACTGGCACAATAATTTTATTAATAGGCAAAATTAATTTTTTTTCTTAATTTTAAAGTAAAATTTGCATTCGTCCTCTAACTTTTGTTTAATTTACTTTAGTCTTCTAATTTTTAAAAAAATTTAAATAAGTTTTTATTCTTTAAAAATTTTAATGTTATTAAAAATATTTTTTATTTTGTACAACAGATGTAACATCCTAATTCTCAGTACTCTGATTTGTTAAATTTTGATAAAATTTTTGTCAAAATTTTTTAGAAAATTAAATTATTAGGAATTAGTTAAAGTGATTTTAGAGTTTTATATTCATTAGATAATTTGTGATTTTCTGAAATTTTTAATAAATACTCAAAATTGACCTATTTTGCAGGTATCTTAGAAAAAAAATAATTTTAAACTGAATTTGATTATATAGTAAATAAAGCCGTAAAATTTTGAAAATTTTATAAGAGCCTAATAATATTAGAAACATCTTGGAAAGTAAATTTTTACGATGAAATGTGATAAATTTCAAATTCTATTTTGCAGTACGTCTAATTAGCAAACAATAAATGAACTGATCCGAAAGTAATTTGAGTGAATTAAAATTTTAGTGACCATCTTAGTATTATTCTAAATATTCTACTAAATTTCCCTACATGTTAAACTAAAAATTATTTACATTTGTGAAAGTGTAATTTTTAAGTTAAAAAAATGATAAAGTAATTAAATTTTAACTTTTAAAAGTGATTAAGAGAGAGAAGATGCATAAAAAATAATTTTCTTCTCCAAAAAGCTTATCATAAGTTCTTTCTTCTATTTTTCTCTTAAATACTCTCACTTTTAAGCTTGATTCTGAGGGCCAAACTTTGATTTTCTTGAGAAGTTTTAAGAGATTTCGTCAGAAATCAACTTCAAGCGTTGGAGAGAACAAACGTGGATGTAACAAGTAAGGGGTGAGTTATGTAGTAAGGATTACATCATAAACTTGTTTAACCTTATTTGTTGAAATTATCTAAATTTTGTTATGATTGATGATTGTGATTTTCTTATATGCTTAATTTTGATAATGGTTTGCTTATGTGTTTGGTGGTGAAAATATATGTTTGATACTTCACTAAGACATAAATTGTGTTATATGATATGAATTGTCCTTGAGTGATCATTTATGTGCATGGTGGTTTTTCATGAAAAAGTTTAATGAAAATAAATTGAAATGATTGAATGATAGATTGAGAACCCTTATAAATTGTATTAGGAAGTTTTCTGATTGTAACAGGTATTTGAAAAATTTTGGGAAGTCTGTATTACAGAGGAAACTCTGTCAAAATTTTGAAAAATATTTAGACTTAGAAATTTTTTTAATTATTCTTGAACAAATTTAGGAATTTGGGAATATAGGACTTTTCTAAGAAAAACTAGTTAGGAACTCATACATTACTCATCTGAAAATGGTATTTTATGCAAAATGGGGAATCAGAGACTATGGACTCTGGGAATATGATAGGGAGGCCCTGAGGGAGGACTTGGGGATAGGAAGGGTAGTGGTTGGAAGCCCTAAAAGACTTAGGCTCGCTACCTATCGTCGGGGATCCCACTGTACAAACTCTCCTGTACTTGACTGTGCTCTTGCTGTATATCATGGTTAGTGAGCTACTAGGTTCATATTTGAGCATGGGTCTCAACAATCCTGTGGATAGATTTCCATACCTAGTAGTGTCAACTCCTAGCTATTCCAGCACTGATTTAAGAAATAATTCGAGCCTGCATGCATGGACATTTTAGAAAAATAAACTAGGATCATGCACCATCATTATCATTCATTTGGAATGTGATTGATTTGTGAATGTTTATGATGTTTGATTTTAACGTGATGTATAAATTGTGGCTCACCCTATCGTTTTTCTATTTTATTTATTTTCTCTGTACTTGCAGTACTCATTGGACATGATCGGTTACCACCTGTAGCAGAGGGAGATGACCCATATTCCACACCAAATGAATATGACGATTGGGCTCATTAGCCCGAAGCCACATCGATGATAGCACAATTGGGATAGACATACCCATACTTTTGCAGACATACTTACTATATTTTTTAGGAGAGTGGCACCAGGACCCAGAGGTGGTGTCCCTATTACCATAAGGAATAGACTAACCCTCAATTTAGATAATAATAATCCTTTTCAGAGCATACTACCACCAATTTCCCCTCTAGCTGAGGAGAAGAAAATGTATATTGATATTCTGAAGGATTATGATCCTTTAAACACCGATGAGTCTAGTGACTCAGAGATGGACTCAAATGAGTAAAATTCATCTCCTAAGTATGAAGATATAGATTCGGAGTAGGACTGATACTGCTTTATTTTTATTTTTTTTGTATAGTGACAAAGGTTAGTCGTAGGCATTCTTTTGTTGCACATAGGCCTTTATGGTACCGGGTAGAAGCCACTCTTTTTGTTTAGTTGTGCTGTTCTGTAGGAAGTCATCCCCAGTATTGTCCTTATTATTTTGAAGAACTGTAACTAATATTTTATCTGTATATAATTATATTGCTAGGTGAAATAATAATTGAGTTCTCCAGTATACAGTACTGTGTAATACGGGAAATTTATTGACCATTTTGCCCTTTGTATTACTGAAAAAGGATACTAAACACTTATGAAAGTTTACTTTAAATACTTCATGCAATGACGAAATTTCTGAAATGTGTTATTGAAAATTTGCTTATTAAAGTTTATTTTTGCGATTAATGGTTTAATACATCAATATTATGTATGAGGGGAAGATTATTAGTATATAAAAAAAAATCACTAATTCTCTAATTGAGGGTTTATAAAGTAGGATGTTACAACGGATACTGTGTATTACTGTTCATTGTCTTTTTCCTCAAATATCGGACCTTATCTCTGGTACATTTTCTTCTTTCTTTTTCCTTTCATCTTCATTTTCTTGTACTCAAAATTCTATCTTCTTGTCACCAACACTAAGCACTCAATCCCAACTCTCAAATCATAAATAACATAATTTTTTAATACATATTTTCCATCTCCAACAAATCTGAAGATACAAATATTCATGTTTTCATTTTTCATTTTATTGATTTTTCATGCTACTGTAACCTTCAAAGTCTTCACTAACAAGAATACCATGTTTTGGAAGCTTAAAACACAATATGAAAATAAACACAAATTTGACGGAGATGAAAAATAGATATTTAGAAAGTTGATTAGTTTATAGTTAAGAAATACACATGGCACAAAACAAGTTTTTTTTAACAAAGTTAAAGTTTTTAATGAAAAATGACTTATTTGAAACTTTTTAAAAGTTAAAGAATTAAAATGAAAAAAAAAAAGTTTGCAAACAAAAGTAAATTTTACCTTAAAGTTTGAAAAAAAAAGAAGGATTTTGCTTATTATACAAATTTGGCCAATTTTGGTGATGAAATTTAATAATATTAAATTTCACCATCATAATTACGAAACATAAAGAAAAATCGCCACTTGCAAAAATTTTATGAGTTTTGTAGATTTAATGGTGAATTTTTTTAAAAAAAATAAGTTTTACCAATTATATTGTGAAATTTATGACACATGACAAAGAAACCCTACACATAAAATTAATTTTAAAAAAATACATAT